TTCTCCTCTCCTCCTCTCCTCCTCTCCCTCTCTCCTTCTCCTCCACTCCTCCTCTTCTTTTCCTTCTCTCCTCCTCCTCCCTCTTTCTTTTCGTTCTCTCCTCCTTCTCCTCTCCTTTTCCTTCTCCTCCTCTCCTTCTCCCTCTCTCCTTCTTTTCCTCCTCCTCTCCTCCTCCTCTCCTTCTCCTTCTCCCTCTCTCCTCTTTCTCTCCATCTTTTCTTCCTCCTCTCCTTCTCCTCCTCTCCTTTTCCTTCCCTCCTCCTCCTTCTTTTCCTTCTCCTCCTCCACTCCTTCTCCTTTTCTCCTCCTCCTCCACTCCTTCTCTTCTTTTTCTTCTCTCCTCCTCTCCTTCTCCCTTTCTCCTCCTCCTCCTCTTTTCCTGAGGCTTACGCGCCTCTTCCAGCTGTGCCACCTGCCCTCTGCTTACCTTCTTTGCATGGTGGTGAGCAACTAAAACACCGTGGGGCTCGACTCCAGGCCATGTTAAACAAGCCTTCCCCGCATGGGACGCATTGCGTGTTGACACTGCTGTCGCACTTCTGATGCACACGGGAACCTGTAAGGGAGGAGAAAAGCCAGGGTTGAAACTGTGCCCAGGGAGGAGTGGATAAGGGAGAAACATGGTCTATGGGGGAGGAGAGGGCCTTGAACCCCTTCATGGGCTGCAGCTGTGAGAACTGGTTAAAAGGACGGACATGCGTATGGGCCAGTGCTGGAAACAAAGCGTGGAAATATTTCTAGCCTGTCGTTCCTGTCTGAGTTTGGCGTCCTTCCCAGTGTGTGTTCCAATCTCTGTGGACATCTTCAAGCCCTTATCTTGCCTGGTTCCCTTAGTTGCTTCAGTGTGGTTTGTGTTGTTTTTACTCTTTATAATTTACAGGCATTTTTAGTTGAAACGGCATTTCCTCCTTTTCGTAACTGTTTGTGGGGGAGTTTTTTTGTCTCCAGTCAAAGATATTTGGAGCTTTGAAGCGAAGTTGAAGGAGTAAAAGGGGCTTCACCTGTTTTTTGTGACTGTGTTTATTTTGTATCCCACCCTGGGTCATCACATCGTGAGAAACATTGTGCATGGATTCACCCACAACGTACTCACACGCAATCGTGATTTCGGTGCGATGGTTCATCCGAGCGACACCTCCGGGGCTCGCCGGCTTACCTGGAGGGCACAGACTGCAACATTTTTGGATGTTTTCGTTGTAATATTCTTGTCTGGGGTTGTGGCACGGAAACACCTGGGAGGGGGTATAAGGCAGCAACTGAGCCTGCAAAAAAGAGACGGGAAAAATAAATAAAGTGGCCACCAGGTGAGTCTGCCCACTGCTCCTCACTACCTCCCTGACTAAGAAGCCAGAGGGAGAAAAAAATCCGTTTTTTCCCCCCAAAAAAATTCCCCGCAACACAAGAGGATTGGAAGTCTTTTGATCCTTATTTCTCATTTTTATTTCTTCTTTCAAGGACTAAAAGAGGCTCCTGTTCATTTAGCAACTATTTGACATTACAACACCACTGAAAAAGGGGACTTAGGAGCATTTTTTACACTTATGACCGTCGCGACATCCTCACGGTACAAATTTGGACACTTGGCGACAACTGTTTCATATTTACGACGGTCACAGCCTGCTGGGAGGCCCCCCGCCCTCCGATTCCCCCTTTTGCAGACCTTCTGATGAGCGAAATCAATGGGGAAGCTGGATTTGCTTAATGACGCATGGCTAGCTTAACGACTGCTGTGATCCGCTTAGCAAAGGTGGGAAAGGAAAGTCGTCCAACTTGCTCTACCGGGTTCTCACTTAACAACAGACATGTTGGGGGTCGTTGGCGGTCATAATTCGAGGACTCCCTGTCATTCGGGCAATTTTTAGGCCCTGGAGTTGGAAGCAAAGGAGAAGCGGAGCAATTTTTCAGAACCCTTTAATCGTGGGGTTTTTTTCAGCAAACGTTTAAGAAACTCCCGAGAAGCCACAAAGACAGGAAATTTCTATATTTTTTATTATTTTCGTGCCAGCAGTCAGGTAACCGTGGGAGGCTCTGTTAATTTCCTTGATCGGTATGGGGAGTCCTTGAATTATGACCAGAAATGACCCCACCCACACAATATGTGGCTAAGCAAGACTTTTTCCCCCCCCGTTTCACGACTTTCCTTTGCCACCATTGTTAAGTGGATCAGGTCACCTTTTGTTCTATCTATGTTTGAATCAGTCAAATGAACAAACAAAAGGCTAGTTGGAAGGAAAACCACCAATCATGGTTTGCTGTAAAGCAACAGGAGGGATACAGAAAAAATATTCCATGCAGGAGATTTTGAAATCTTTCACTCTTGGCCTTGAACCCAATCGATTTTTTTTCTGAGCCCAAAGTGAATTGCGTAACCGGTATGGTGCTTCCCGTTTGGCTTCCCCCACTTTGCAAAACGTGGTTTCGTTTCGGGCAACGACCTCTCTCTCTCTTTCTTTTTTTTTTTTTTTGCAATTTGCAACGGCAAGACAAACCACGGTCTGACGAATCGATTCCGTTCCCGAGGTCAAATCTTGGCGTTTCTGCACTAAAAGCCCATCGCTGTCCTTTGTCACGTCAACAACCAAATCATGGTGATAATGATGCAAAAAAAAATCTTTAAAAATCAGCTGATGCAGGGGAAACATTGACAGACTCACAGATGAACCACGTGGGAAGGGACCTTGGAGGTCATCTAGTCCAACCCCCCGCCCAAGCAGGAGACCCTACACCATTTCTGACAGAGGGCCGTCCAGCCTCTTCTTGAAAGCCTCCAGGGATGATGAAACTCCCACAACTTCTGAAGGCAACTTCTGTTCCATGGGTTGACTTTTGGGTCTCCCCATGGATATAGTTTGCCGAGTTCTTGTTTAAATTATTCCCCCCCATAGTTATTACTTCTGCCTTTTTCTCAGCGATGAATGGGGTCAGGTTGCACAACAGCAAAGGAACTGCACATGTCCGTCACACTTTGCACGCTCTCTCTCTCTCTGTCTCTCTCTGTCTGTGTCTCTGTCTCTCTTTTT